AAGACAGAGCATCCCTTGCCCCAGACTGAGAATTCCTATCTGAACCTTGTGGCTAATAGCTATGGATGGACCTCTGCTCCATATGTTTATCCTGTTGTCTCTTGAATCTGTTTATGCTTGTAATGCATGTTCCCAAGTGGATGAGCGGGCTGTCTGCTTCCTTCTCCAACTAGTGTGCCAGTTGAGAAGCTCAGAAACTAATGCCCACCATGGGTGGTGGGACAGAGTCCTTTGAAGTTTCTCTTTATACCCGAGGAGCCAGTTTGGTGTAGTGGTTAAGTGCCTGGACTCTAATCTGGGAGAACCGGGTTTGATTCCCCACTCCTCCACTTGCAGCTGCTGGATGACCTTGGGCAAGCCATAGTTCTGTCAGAGCTCTTCTTTCAAGGACAGTTCTGTCAAGAGCTCTCTCAGCCCCACCTACCTCACAGGGTGTCTGTTGTGGGGAGGGGAAGGGAAAGGAGTTCGTAAGCCGCTCTGATACTCCGAGGGAAGGGCGGGGTATAAATCCAATCTTCTTTTCTTCTTCTCTTCATTAACTCAGAAATGTTTCGCTTCCCAAGTTCTAACTAATCATATGGGATGAGCAGCTGCCATTGCCAAATGTGGTTTCCTTCTGCACGAGCCCAGATAACAGTCGAGTCCATAAAAAACCTTGCTAACTTTACTAATCAACAATACTCACAAGTACACTTTATATATTTTTTAATGAACTGTGCTATACTCGTAACAAGTGAAAATTATAATTTTTTTGGGGGAAAACAACCTTCGTTTCTAAGAATTAGAATTAATTATAATTAGAACATCCTTCTAATTAGGATATCCTAATGAGGTATGAAATGCATCTTCTTCTCCTTAAGAGGACTCTTCCTATCTGATGGACCTTCTGCATAAGGACTTAGTTCCTATTGATGAATTTTTCTAAAGCAGGGGTAACGAACTCACTTGTTATGAGGGCCGGATCTGACATAAATGAGACCTTGCTGGGCCGGGCCACGTGTGACATAAAATGTAATGCCAGGTAGCGGAGAGATAAACTTTATAAAGGACACAAACACAAAGGGTTTTTTTTTTTTTTACTTAAAATAAAAACATGCTTAAAACATTAGCTCTGTAAGCTGCAAACCTCAGGGCTCTTTTTGTAGAAAAAGCCCAGCAGGAACTTATTAGCATAATAGGCCACACCCAACACCAGGAACTCATTAGCATATTAGGCCACACACCCCGACGGCACAGCTCATTGGCACATTAGGCCGCACCCCCATGTTACCAGAAGTGTAGTCATCCAGCCACACCCACCTTTCCCTTCTTATTCTGTTTACCTTGTTGTCAAAACCCAGGGCTTTTTTGTAGCAGGAACTCCTTTGCATGTTAGGCCACACACCCCTAATGTAGCCAATCCTAATGAGTTTCTGCTGTTGGGTGTGGCTTATTATGCTAATGAGTTCCTGCTGGGCGTGGCCAACTTGGGAGCCAGCCGGAACTCCGTTCCTGTGCGTTCCTGCCCAAAAATAGCCCTGGCAAACCTACTTTTGATTTATCGACATTCACCACAGAAATCTCTTGCTCAGAGTTCTGAGTCGAGGACTCAGGTTAAAACATGAGGTGGCTGAGTGATTAAGAGAGTCTGGCGAAGCAAGCTATGATGCAGCAGCAGCAGAATTGGAAGCAGGAGATGGCCAGTCCCACTGCGGGCCTGATGGAAGCCCTCCGGGAGGGGGGGGTCTGATCCGGCCTCTGGGCCGCATGTTTGACACCCCTGTTCTAAGCTTTGGATTCCTATAAGAAGCGTAGATTGCATTTTTCTATGGGATTTATTTATAATTTTCACTTGTTACATGTATTGCAGTGTTCATTTAAACTGTATAAAGGTATAAAATGTAAGTATTGTTGATAATTCATGTTATCGCAGTTTAATTCTGCTTGGCACAGATGTTTCCGTGATCCTCTGTTTCCTTCCTGGAGGCTGGCGACCCTATAAATTGTATTTGTTAAGGATCAGAAGAGAGTACTCTTACTGTAGGGGTTAAATCCATAATATCCCCATATTGCCTTAAATTGCATTCTTTCCTCATCCTCAGAGGGAATCTTTCGAAGGAGGGCTTTTATCCTCTTTTTTAATGCAACCCCACATTTCCCACTGAGAAATTTCTGAGTATTGGATCTAGAGCATACCGAAGACAAGATTCGGGAGTGGTGTGGCACTAAGAGAAGGAGGAGTCCTCCTCTTTGGATCTCACCCATAACGGTGCAGCTTCTGACGCTGCTTCTGCTCCCCCAGGTGTGTTCCGTGAGGCCACCACGGAGTTCAGTGTGGACGCGCGTACTTTGACCAAGGCCGGAGGGCCTCACATCAAAACGAGGGTATCCAACCCATCGGGAAACCTGACGGACAGCTACGTGCGTGACAACGGAGATGGCACCTACAACGTGGAGTACACACCTTACGAAGATGGTGAGACTCACAAGGCGGTGGGGAAGGGGATCCCAGGCTGGTGGGGCGGACAGTAGTGGAGGCAGGAAGTGTGCTGTGACCTTCTCGCCTGAGTTTGTAAGGCAAGAAGGAACAACAAGAAAGGGAAGGGGCTGTGGCTTGGTGGCAGAGCCTCTGCTTGGCATGCAGAAGGCCCCAGGTTCACTCTCTGACATCCCCAGTTGAAAGGACCAGGCAGGAGGTGATGTGAAAGACCTTGCCCCGAGACCCTGGCTCGGGGGCAGAGCCTCTTCTTGGCATGCAGAAGGTCCCAGGTTCAATCCCCGGCATCTCCAATTAAAAGGCACAGGGAGTAGGTGATGGGAAAGACCTTGACCTGAGACCCTGGCTCCGTGGCAGAGCCTTTGCTTGGCATGCAGAAGGCCCCAGGTTCACTCTCTGACATCCCCAGTTGAAAGGACCAGGCAGGAGGTGATGGAAAAGACCTTGCCCCGAGACCCTGGCTCGGGGGCAGAGCCTCTTCTTGGCATGCAGAAGGTCCCAGGTTCAATCCCCGGCATCTCCAGTTAAAAGGACCAGGCAGGAGGGGATGGGGAAGACCTTGACCTGAGACCCTGGCTCAGTGGCAGAGCCTCTGCTTGGCATGCTGAAGGTCCCAGGTTTAGTCCCCGGCACCCCCAGTTAAAGAGAGCCAAGACAGTAGGAGATGTAGAAGATCTCAGCCTGAGACCCTGGAGAGCCGCTGCCAGTCTGAGTAGACAGTACTACTGACTTTGACAGGCCAAGGGTCAGATTCAGTATAAGGCAGCTTCATGTATTTCATGTAGAAGATAGCTGCATTGTTTCCATCCTTAGCATGAGTCCTGCCAAGGGGATGGCAAATCACCTCTGCGTCTCATTTACCTGGAAAGCCCCATGCTGGGGATGTCGTAAGCTGGAAGCTAAGCGGGGTTCTTATTTGGATAGGGGCCCACCAAAGAAGGCTCTGCAGAGGAAGGCAATAGCAAACCATCTCTCCTTCTCGCTTCCCTTGAGAGCCCTTTCTGGCATCGTCGTGACTCATTTGGGACTGGGCTGGACTTGATTGGGCGGCGCGTCTTTATGGTCACTGCCAACTCCTGGTTGCATTTCCATGATCTGTCAAGGGGACAAGCTCTGGGGTGGGATTTCTGCTCATACCTGTGAGGTCCTTGCTTATTGGGGAGACCGTTTCTCCTTTAAAATGCACTTTGTGTACATGAACTTAGTAGATTTCTGCTGCCACCAGGAACTAAGAATTCCGAATCTCTCTATTTTGGTAGACTGACCCAGTGTCTGGGCATTTCAGAAGACTATGTGGCCCTGAGGAAGGACTATTCTGATTGCTGGGATGAGTTTAAAAAAATGATGATTTGTTTATAAAAGATAGGTTTCTGGTATTTTTGAACTGCTGTTGGAAAAAAGAAAATATAACTGACAAAGCTTGGTGTCAACACACAGTCTCTCAAACACCAAAACTCAACTCTGACAGGCTTAGACACTCAGTCTAAACTCTCTTGCTCATAGCCACACAGGCTAAACTCTGCCTTTCTTAGCCACACAGACTGAACTCTCTCATATAGCCACACAGGCTAAACTACAACTGCTTCCTCTGTCGTAGACTCTCAAACAAACTCTCCACCCTAAAACAGACAGAATCACCTCAGAGACACCCCCCCTCCATCATTCTCAGTCGTCAGCCAATCACGTCACACTTATCTCCCTCTATCACTCTCCTTACATTACCGCAGTCAAACTAAACCTTTAAAGAAACACACACGCCAAAAAATGAAATCATTACAATACCTGTCTATGCTTCAGGTGTCCACTCCATCGATGTGACCTACGATGGCAGCCCGGTGCCCAGCAGCCCCTTCCGCGTTCCAGTAACCGAAGGATGCGACCCCACGAGGGTTCGCGTCCACGGCCCTGGCATTCAGAGTGGCACTACCAACAAGCCCAACAAATTCACGGTGGAGACCAGGTAAAAACAGGATGCTGGCGGCGCAAATGTGTCGTAGCGGCTGCTCGATGCGCTAGGAGTTTGAGAGCTCAGAATCTTGATATCCCTCTTCACCGCAGAGCCTTTCTTTCCGCCAGGGTTAACGCATTTCCTTCTAGAATATTCTGTGGCAGAGACCATCAGATCCCGAGACAAGAACGGCTGTGTCCTTGTGGTCTTAACTCCCCAGACACAATTGAACATATATGGTTGAATGTCCCCTGTATGATCCACCTCGTGAAAAATTGCTTTTAGCTTGGCATCCTCCCAAACGTCATCTGAGTAATAAGGCAAAATGCCAATTTCTTTTGGATGACTTGGTCCCTAAGTTCACCAGCGATGCGTCCACCAAGCTGTGGAGTCTTGTGAGCAAATGTTCTGCTCTGTGAGCGACTGGCATTAAAGTTGTGAGTGAGCAATCTGGCTGCTGCATGAATTAGTTTGCTCAGGAGCAATGCTTCCTCTAAGCTGTGGAGTCTTGTGAGCAAAAATTCTGCTCTGTGAGTGACTGGCATTCAAGTTGTGAGTGAGCAATCTGGCGGCTGCATGAATTAGTTTGCTCAGGAGCAATGCTCCCTCTAAGCTGTGGAGTCTTGTGAGCAAAAATTCTGCTTTGTGAGCGACTGGCATTAAAATTGTGAGTGAGCAATCTGGCTGCTGCATGGATTAGTTTGCTCTGGAGCCATTCTTCCTGAGCTGTGTGAGCCGGAGGCTTAAGAAAATGTGAGCTAGCTCACACTAACTCAGCTTAGAGGGAACACTGGTCACCACCAGTGATGTTGCCAAATCTCTCACAGAAGTTCTTAAAGTACAGAGTTTTAGATAGTACTGTTTTTGACTGCACCTAATTTATATGGAATCTTAGACCTTAATTTTTTATGGTACAGTGTTCGAACTTGCTTTATGACTGATGATGATGATGTGCCAGTAAAGGTCTATGAATGAATGAATGAATGAATGAATGAATGAATGGTGAGAGCGCAGAATGTGCTTTTCCACCTGCATGACACACCCGGTATCCAATGAAGGGAGTTTTGGCTCTCGGGAGCCTATCCCCCCGAAGGTTTTGTTGGCCTCGAATGTGCTTCTGGACTCGAATCCAGGTCCACTGCTGCAGATCAACAGGGCCGCCCTCTGAAACTGACACATTTGGCCGCTTGCACCAGCTTCAGTTAGGGAATTTATCTCAGCTGGGGTTCAGGGAATTCCGCGCTCAGAAGGAACTTCTCTTGCCAAGAGGTGGGTCGAGCTAGTGTCATTTGGCACGGGCAGGTCCCGTTATCAGATAGAGGCTCAAATGCCTGGGAAAGTTTGGTGTGAACATTTTAAGGAAATATATGAATTTACAACACACTCAACCAAAGAGAAAACAAGGAATTGGCCTTTCGCCACAGTAGAGCATATGCTACCGGAACGGCCTTCCGTAACAACGGCTAAAGCTGAAAATCTCATAATCTCTCTAGCTTCAGGTAACTCTCCAGGGGAAGACTTGATCCCAGCTGATCAGATTCAAACATTTTCTTTCTTTTTAAAAAATATTTATATAATTTTCAAAATACAAAACATGTAAATGAATTATCAATCAATAAACACTTTACATTGAGTCTGTTCTTAAACATTATTATTTATCCAATTGTATAATCTCGACAATTTTTTCAAGAAGAATTCTTCTCCTTTCCCTTGAATTAACAAGCTTAAATTGTCCATTTTGGTGCAGAGAGAGAGAGAGAGAGCCAGTTTGGCGTAGTGGTTAAGTGCGCGGACTCTAATCTGGGAGAACCGGGTTTGATTCCCCACTCCTCCACTTGCAGCTGCTGGATGACCTTGGGCAAGCCGTAGTTCAGATAAGAGCTGTTCTTGAAAAAGAGCAGTTTATGTCAGAGCTTTCTCAGCCCCACCTACCCCACAGGGTGTCTGTTGTGGGGAGGGGAAGGGAAAGGAGTTTGTAAGCCTCTCTGAGACTCCTTTGGGTAGTGAAAGGCAGGATATAAATCCAATCTCCTCTTCCTCTTCTTCCTCTTCCTCCTCTGCCTCTTCCTCCTCTTCCTCGGGTAGTATTCAGTGTTTCAGGCTTCTGGTCCTTCCTCAGGAACAAAGAACTATAGAAGTATAAAATACAAGAATGATTTTTAACAATATTACTTGTGATCAATTTTGTGAAATATTGTTAATAACCATACAATGGAATCATATTAAATGCATTATATTATTGTCACTGTTGCACAGCGTCTCATTAAATCTTACCAACTATAGGAAGTCTCATTCCATTTCCTTATAGGCCAATACTATTCAGTTTCTCTGTAAAAGAGAATACCTCCTTAGAATTTAATTAGGAATATTTTAAGAAACAACACAATATATGGACCACAATGCTAACTAGGAAAAGTCTTGGATATCTACTCTGGGCTTTGTATTTTCCTTTCATGGATCCTGTGGGCTTCTGTATTTTTCTATGATGGATTATATGTATAGATTCATTCTTGATTACATGTGCATTTCGCTTTATTGAAGTCTCCTTTTGGATATATATTTTTGCGGGTAATTCAGCTCACAGTTGTTTTCTGTTATTTATTTCTTTATTTATACTTATATCTATACCCCGCCCACCCTGTAAACAGGCTCTGAGTGGCTTACAGAAGACGGCAGAGTATGCCGAATTAGCATAAAACCCTAAAACATTAAAATAATATGAAATATTCTTAACATTACAACAATAACATTAAGCTGCTCGCAGTATTAACACAGATCGAGTGAATTTCCATTCCGGCAATCTCCTGATCTTACGGCCAGTCCTATGGTCCAGATATTAAATGGCATAGTCCATAGTGGGCCAGTCCCATATTCCAGATGTTCAGTGTAATAATAGTTGGTTTTTTGCTATTTCTTGCTGTGTACTTAAATATTGGTTGTTGAGAATTCCAAAGGTGCCTGCAGGCTCGTAAAGGCTGGGGGACCCCGGCTTTAATTCATTCTTCACTTCTAACTTCACATTGATTTGCCTGAGGAATCTGGGTGCGGACGCACACATCAGTGGGCCAAATTTCTCCCTCTTTCAGGGGCGCTGGGACTGGTGGGCTCGGCCTCGCTGTCGAGGGTCCCTCCGAAGCCAAGATGTCATGCACGGACAACAAAGATGGCAGCTGCTCCGTGGAGTACATCCCCTACGAACCCGGCACCTACAACCTCAACGTCACCTATGGTGGCCACCAAGTGCCAGGTACTCAGCGTGGAATGATGGTGGGCAAGAGAAAGAGCACGGGATCCATAGCTATATGAGCTGTTCAGTTCTTGGTGCATGGCTGCCTCTTCTTTACCCCTTCTGTGTCTACCAGGTGACAGTTTGGTTCGCATTCTTGCCCCAGAGGGTATGGGTGGTTCAAGGCACAGTTGCAGATCTTGAGGGACCCTGGGCAGAGGGTTCCCGGGGGCCCCACTCCCCTCTTCTGCCCCCTACTAGTCCCCACACACATGCCCTCCTTCCCTGCCTCCCACCTCCCTGTGGGTCCTTTCCCTGCCCACTTGTGAGCTATTCCAGGTGCCCATAAGAAAAGCAGAAGAGCCCTGCTTGATCAGACCAGTTGACAGTCCCTCTAGTCCAGCCTCCCGTCTCACACAGGGGCCAGCCAGTTCCTCTGGAGGGCCAGCAACAGGGCAGAGAGGCCGAGGCCTTCCCCTGATAAGAACCTCAGAAGAGCCCTGCTGGGTCAGACCAGGGAGGGTCCCTCTAGTCCAGCCTCCCGTCTCACACAGGGGCCAGCCAGTCCCTCTGGAGGGCCAGCAACAGGGCAGAGAGGCCGAGGCCTTCCCCTGAGAAGGACACCAGAAGAGCCCTGCTGGGTCAGACCAGTGAGGGTCCCTCTAGTCCAGCCTCCTGTCTCACACAGGGGCCAGCCAGTTCCTCTGGAGGGCCAGCAACAGGGCATAGAGGCCAAGGCTTTCGTAAGAACATCGGAAGGGTCCTGCTGTGTCAGACCAGTGAGGGTCCATCTAGTACAGCATCCTGCCTCACACGGTGGCCAACCGGTTCCTCTGGAGGGTCACTGAGGAAGGCCAGTGGGCCGAAACAAGTATGGTCAGGGTCCATAATGGTCATTTTTGGTGGTCGCTGTACAGTCTGATGCTTAATTGAGGCTAATATCTGTTCTTTAATATATTTTGTAATAAATACAGGTATATTTTTGCATATCTGTCACTATTTAATCTTTCTAAATTGACTAACAGAATTCGGGGGGGCCCTATTCCTTCAGATCTTTTAGGTTCTTAGTTCATTATAGTTTAAATAGAGCCCACTGGCGTGTAAAATCTCTGGCAGCGAGATTGTGAAGTTGCACCACCTGGATCTTCACACGTGCAAGGGGAGGCTGCGTATTCGGCGCTCTTAAGACTGTTCTCTTCTCTCCCTGTGTAGGCGATATGATCTGTAGCAAAGATCAGGGAGGAGACCAGTTGCCACCTTTCCGTAGTTACGGGCAACGCTCCCTCTAAGCTGTGGAGTCTTGTGAGCAACAATTTTACCTTGTGAGCTACTGGCATTAAAGTTGAGAGCAATTAGTTTGCTCTGGAGCCATCCTTCCCAAGCCAAGACAAAAATGTGTCAGCCGGAGGCTTAAAAAACTGTGAGCTCGCTCACAGTAACTCAGCTTAGAGGGAACACTGGTCACGGGACACTTTGTGCTGACAGCTGTACAATACCCAGGCTGGCAGCACCAGTGTTATTGCTTTCCTTGCCAGGCTTTTTGGGCATAGATGTCAAGCCATTGCTTGCTAGATCCAGTCAGTAGGTTCCCTAAAAGGCCCAGTAAAGCACAGCAGGCTTGTAAGTAGGCCTTGGTAGTCAGGATTTCCCCGTGCAAGTATTCCTTGTGCAAGTATGGTGTGTGGGCGGGAGGGAGAGTACATTTTCATAATTAGCCAGGGGAGGGGCTAGGGGGTCAGTGGAAGAGCCTCCGCCTGGCATGCAGAAGGTCCCAGGTTCAATCCCCGGCATCTCCAGTTAAAAAAGGACCAGGCAGGAGGTGATGGGAAAGACCGTGACCTGAGACCCTGGCTCAGGGGCAGAGCCTCTGTTTGGCATGCAGAAGTTCCCAGGTTCAATCCCCGGCATCTCCAGTTAAAAAAGGACCAGGCAGGAGGTGATGGGAAAGACCGTGACCTGAGACCCTGGCTCAGGGGCAGAGCCTCTGTTTGGCATGCAGAAGTTCCCAGGTTCAATCCCCGGCATCTCCAGTTAAAAAAGGACCAGGCAGGAGGTGATGGGAAAGACCGTGACCTGAGACCCTGGCTCAGGGGCAGAGCCTCTGTTTGGCATGCAGAAGTTCCCAGGTTCAATCCCCGGCATCTCCAGTTAAAAAAGGACCAGGCAGGAGGTGATGGGAAAGACCGTGACCTGAGACCCTGGCTCAGGGGCAGAGCCTCTGTTTGGCATGCAGAAGTTCCCAGGTTCAATCCCCGGCATCTCCAGTTAAAAAAGGACCAGGCAGGAGGTGATGGGAAAGACCGTGACCTGAGACCCTGGCTCAGGGGCAGAGCCTCTGTTTGGCATGCAGAAGTTCCCAGGTTCAATCCCCGGCATCTCCAGTTAAAAAAGGACCAGGCAGGAGGTGATGGGAAAGACCGTGACCTGAGACCCTGGCTCAGGGGCAGAGCCTCTGTTTGGCATGCAGAAGTTCCCAGGTTCAATCCCCGGCATCTCCAGTTAAAAAAGGACCAGGCAGGAGGTGATGGGAAAGACCTTGACCTGAGACACTGGAGAGCTGCTCCCAAGTCTGAGTGGACAGTACTGACCTTGATGGACCACCTGTTTGACTCAGTAGAAGGCAGTTTCATATGCATTCATAAAACTGAGGAAGGGCCCTGGCTCAGTGGTAGAACTTCTGCTTGGCATGCAGAAGGTTCCAGGTTCGATCCCCGGCATCTCCAGTTAAAAAAGGACCAGGCAGGAGGTGATGGGAAAGACCGTGACCTGAGACCCTGGCTCAGGGGCAGAGCCTCTGTTTGGCATGCAGAAGTTCCCAGGTTCAATCCCCGGCATCTCCAGTTAAAAGGACCAGGCAGGAGGGGATGAGAAAGACCTTGACCTGAGACCCTGGCTCAGTGGCAGAGCCTCTGCTTGGCATGCAGGAGGCTCCAGGTTCAATTCCGGCATCTCCAGTTAAAAAGGACCAGGCAGGAGGGGATGAGAAAGACCTTGACCTGAGACCCTGGCTCAGTGGCAGAGCCTCTGCTTGGCATGCAGGAGGCTCCAGGTTCAATTCCGGCATCTCCAGTTAAAAAGGACCAGGCAGGAGGGGATGAGAAAGACCTTGACCTGAGACCCTGGCTCAGTGGCAGAGCCTCTGCTTGGCATGCAGGAGGCTCCAGGTTCAATTCCGGCATCTCCAGTTAAAAAGGACCAGGCAGGAGGGGATGAGAAAGACCTTGACCTGAGACCCTGGAGAGCAGCTGCCAGTCTGAGAAGACAATACTGAGCCTGATGGACCAAGAAGGTCTGGTTCTGTATAAGGCAGGTTCATGTGTGAACGTACTTCATTTAAGGACATGCCTGGATCCTAATCTGACCTCCTCTCCTCTGCAGGGAGCCCGTTCAAAGTGCCCGTGCATGATGTGGTGGATTCTTCCAAGGTCAAATGTTCAGGCCCCGGCCTCACCCCTGGCATCGTCAGAGCCAACGTCCCCCAGTCCTTCACTGTGGACACCAGTAAGGCCGGCGTGGCACCCCTCCAGGTGAAAGTCCAAGGCCCCAAAGGTAATGTTGCCCACTCAGATGTCACAAGCAATGCCTTCCTGCATTGCAGCTCTCTTCGACGGCTCACGGGTTTTTCCCCCCTTTGCAGGAGTGGTTGAGCCTGTAGACGTCGTGGACAATGCGGATGGCACTCAGACGGCAAGCTACGTCCCAAGCCGGGAGGGTCCATACAGCATTGCAGTACACTATGGAGATGACGAGGTGCCCCGCAGGTATGGTTGGGGTGGGAAAGGCTATTTCTGTCCTTCAAGCTGTTTCAGTATGTGTAGTAACGGGCTTGTAGGCTCCTCCCAGTCCTTAGGGTTGCCCCCCGGGAAGTCAAAAGACCCTGCAGCTGTCTCAGGTCTCCACTTGGCAATGCCACCCTTCTTCCTCTCTGCCGCAAACAAACCCAGTGATTATCCATTGCCACCAGTAATACTGAGAGTATCCCCTGCTTAGAGTATCCACCGAGAGTGTCCCCTGCTAAAGATTCGCATGTCTTTCACTCTGTATCTCCATTGCTATTTAGAGTCTCTGCCTAGCTGCCAGTGCCTTCTGGTTTGCTCCTACGAGCTAGTGCGAGGGAGGTCTATTGTGTTCCAGGGATGGTGAGCTGCTCCACCACCCATCCCTGTTAGTGCAACTCAGATAGCGAGGCCGATTCAGCACGGTTTCCAGAAAGTCAGGCTCAGAGCATTCAGAGTATAAGAAAGTTTAATAATTGGGAGAAACAGGCGTACACCTTGTCTGTTTGACAACTCGGGCTGAGCAAGGGTACAAAGAAAAAGTGAAAAGATACGGTCCCCTTTCCAGTTTGGCATAGTGGTTAAGTGTGCAGACTTTAGCTTAGAGTTACTTGAAGTGGGGGTAGTTAATGTATCTGTGAATTGGCTATTAGCCACAAACCCACTGAGCGGGTAGATGGCATGGGAGTCCTCCTCACCTTTGCTGTACATTGGCAAAGTAAATCCAATGCATTCACAAGGTTAGAGGAAAACACATGCTGAACTCGAGGAGCACCCGAGTCTAAAAGATCGCTTTGTCGCTTGTCAGCTTCCGTCTGTAAAGCCAGCCTCCTTTACACTCACAGTGGAGGGCAAGAACAACCCGCTCTCTGGTAGGCCAAAGCCTACAGCTTTCGCTTAATAGAAAGGGGAAGCAAGAACGACTACTGGAGTGGAGACGAGGACTGTCTGCGGCTCAGGTGACAGAGGGATTCTCTGAAGTTTAGCACAAACCTCTTTCCGTTCCAGCCCGTTCAAGGTCAAGGTCCTGCCCACCCATGACGCCAGCAAGGTGAAGGCCAGTGGGCCGGGGCTGAACACGACAGGTGTGCCGGCCAGTCTGCCAGTGGAGTTTACCATCGATGCCAAGGATGCAGGCGAAGGGCTCCTGGCGGTCCAGATCACGGTGAGCAAAAACACCTTGCTGAAGCAGCAGAAGTAATTGCCTTGTTAGTGGTGGGTGAGGACAAGTCAAAGGCCGTAGCAGGAACTTTTGAGAACCTGGGGGGGGGGCGTAAGTCTTACTTTCCCACACCTCTTCTCTGTTTAGGACCCCGAAGGCAAACCGAAAAAGGCCACCATCCGTGACAACCAAGATGGCACCTACACTGTCTCGTACGTCCCGGACATGACCGGCCGCTACACCATCCTCATCAAGTACGGCGGGGACGAGATCCCTTACTCGCCGTACCGCATCCGTGCTGTGCCCACCGGAGATGCCAGCAAGTGTACGGTGACAGGTGAGGGACCGCTCGGGGCAAGCGCCGTGGCAGGGGAAGGGCGGCGGGGGGGAATCAGAGGGTGGGGCGAGCCACGCTGAAACAACGCCACGCCCCCCCTCCCCACACCGACTGCTTTTGCCGGGCACGTCCGGCCACACCGCTCACCCACTGTGGGGAGGGAGTTGCCACGTCGTGTGCGTTCCTGTGTGTGTGGTTTTTTTTTTAATTGTGCACTGTTCCGTGTGAATCTTATCTCACTTGATTCCCCTTGCTTTCGCCCTTCCACCTCAGTGTCGATCGGAGGTCACGGGCTAGGTAAGCAGCTTGCTCGTGGCGCCCCCCCCAGAGTCCCCTCCCCGCTTGCTCACCCTTCGACTGCCTTTCCCTTGCATGATTCGACACCTGCATTAGACTCCACCTCCGCTTCGGCCTGGAGAGATGGGGGCTCGAGTCATCCTCCCCCTTCTCTCTGTGCTGGGGTTCAAACTAGAGCTGATCCGAATGGTGTGTTCCAAACTGGAAGAGAGCTCGTGCAAAAACTATTGGGGTAAATGTAAAACAAGTACCGATTTGCCTTGGAAGCACAGGAGCTTGACGCTGTATCCCCGATCCTCCACGTTTCCCGGTTAAGGGGGGAAATGCTGTTCAAGCAAATGACAAAGACGGCCTGACTCCGAGGGTAACGGGAGAAATAAATTTTACCTACAGAAATAGAAGCGCGTCTTAACGTGACAGATTCATGTAGGTACATTTAGCTTAATTGTGAACAGATTAACTTCAAAAATGTAAAACAAATACCGATTTGCCTTGGAAGCACAGGAGCTTGATGCTGTATCCCCGATCCTCCACATTTCCCGGTTAAGGGGGAAAATGCTGTTCAAGCAAATGACAAAGACGGCCTGACTCCGAGGGTAACGGGAGAAATAAATTTTACTTACAGAAATAGAAGCGCATCTTAACGTGAACGATTCATGTGGAGACATTTAACTTATTGTGAACAGATTAACTTCAAAAATAGGCTAACTTGCTATAGCTCCAAGCCTAGGTAAGAGGGAGAAGAAAGAGAGGTCCGATATAAGATGAAAAAACAGAAGGCAAGGAAGGGTGAGAAAGGCTCAACATCTAACCCAAGGGTGGCCAAACTTTCGTAATGTCACAGCCACACAGAATAAACGTCAGATGTTTGAGAGCCGCAAGGCATGAACCAATATGACACACGTGTTTTTATTGAAAAACATTGCAAATTTGCTTTTTCTAAACATTAAGTTAGACCGTGCGAAAGAGCCGCATGCGGCTCCCGAGCCGCAGTTCGGCCACCCCGATGAGTGGGGGGCAAACTGCCAAGTGTCCCCAAGAGAGAGGATTCTCTTAACCCTTTCCCTCCCAGACCCTCTCGCACGCAGAGTTACAAGATCTGCCCTCTCGTTCCCTGTTGACAATAACACTTTGCTCAAAAGGGAAGTGCGCTCTTCAGCTGCAGCCCCGCTAATTCAAGCCAGTAGCTGAAGTTTTAGTTTAGCCATAGCTAAACTCTTTAAGCTCAGTGGCTCCCTGGGGAAGGGCTGTGGCTCAGTGGTAGAACTTGGCATGCCGAAGGTCCCAGGTTCAATCCCCGGCATCTCCATTTCAAAGAGGACCGTGTAGGAGGGGATGGGAAAGACCTTGACCTGAGACCCTGGCTCAGTGGCAGAGCCTCTGCTTGGCATGCCGAAGGTCCCAGGTTCAATACCCGGCATCTCCATTTCAAAAAGGACCACGTAGAAGGGGATGTGAAGGACCTCCACCTAAGACCCTAGAAGAGCCACTGCTAATCTGAGTAGACAATACTGACCTTGATGGGCCGAGGGCCTGATTCTGTATAAGGCAGCTACATGTGTTTGTGTGTGTGTGTGTTCAAGACAGCTGCTTAGTCCCGAGGAACAGAGACAGGCGACTGCCGTATTAACTTACATTGCTGCAAGACTGCAACTTGGTTACAGTGGCACAGATGGGCAACGCTAGATCTTTGGTCCTTTTTCAGGATTGTCTAGTTCAGGGGTGTCGAGGGCCGGAACTGACTCGGGCCGGGCCATGTGTGTCATAAAATGTAATGCCAGGTAGCGGAGATATAAACTTCATAAAAGACACAAACACAAAGATTTTTTTTAAACCTGAAATAAAAACATGCTTAAAACATTAGCTCTGTAAGCTGCAAACCTTCTTCTGATTTCTTGACATTCGCCACGGAAATCTCATGCTCAGAGTTCTGAGTCTAGGACCCCGGTTAGAACATGAAATGGCTGAGTGATTAAGAAGAGTCTGGCGAAGCAAGCGATGATGCTGCAGCAGCAGCAGAACCGGAAGCAGGAGACGGCCTTTCCACTGCGGGCCCATTGGAAGCCCTTCGGAGGCCTGATCTGGCCCCCGGGCCACATGTTTGACACCCCCGGTCTAGTTCCTCCACCTGGGAGCAGTTCTCCAGCGGTCTCTCTCAGCTTAGTTGAGCTTGGAAAAGATCTCTCGAAAGCCAAGGTGCCAACAATTGAGGCTGGGGGCATCTTGGCACATAAAGCGGAGAGGCATCGATCCTCCCCGGTTTCGGCTTCTGCCAGCCGGGCAGAACTGTTTGCTCGATGAAGCCGGGCTGCAGAGGTGTAAAAGCGAAGCCACCTTCCTAAACTCTTGGACAGCTTCTTTCAGCTCTAGTTAACTATTTGTGAGGTGGATCTAAGCACTGGGAAAGGGGGGGGGAGAGATACGGCATGGTTTTCCAGGGACACCCCACCCACAATAATCCTTTCCCCTCAAGGCTTTTCTCTGGCTGCACTTGGCTTGCACAGCGGGTGGTTGTGGAATGTGCCTGTCATCGGGGTCTGGGGAACAGCTCGGAACTGCATGCTTCCTAGGCCCCCACGGCGAAGGCTTCTCTCTCCAGGCATTGCGGTGACTCGGGTGGAGTCTGGGTGCTCGCCTCTGGCACTTTCCCCAGGGTGTTTTGTTTATGTATTTATTTATTTAGATTTCTATACCACCCTTCCCAAGTGGGCTCAGGGCGGTGAGCAACAATTGAATAATACACTTAAAAGAATGAAAATAACCGTTTACACTTAATTATCATAAAATACCGTGTTAACCGTACAGCAATCAGATGACCAAGTAAATCAGGCCAGCGATGGATAATTGGCCGACCAAGCTGGTCCCTGAAGAACCAAGGCGGGGGTGGGGTGGGGACGCTCACTGCCTCAACCAAATGCCCGGCGGAAGAGCTCCGTCTCGCAGGCCCTGCGGAACTATAACAAGTCCTGCCCTGATCTCAAACAGGAACTCATTCCACCAGTCGAGGCTAGCCGGATGTCCCTGGGACCCGGAGCCATTAGCAGATGTTGATTTGTGGACCTCAGAGCCCTCCGGGGGTCATATGGGGAGAGGTGTTGACGCACTCCTGCGTTGGAGACACCTTATCCCACTCCGGAGCTGTGTGAGACGCAGGGGTTTTTTTGGGGGGGAGGGGGAGAACCGTTGGATGAGCAGCTGAGTGTTTGTCTTCGTGGCTATTGCTTCTTAGTGTCAGGGTAGGGTTTCCCATTGTCTTCTGAACCACCCGAGGGGAAAGAACTTTAGGAGCAGAAGGCAGGTAGGTCCCAAGTAGCAGCCCACGTCTCCCTAGCTGGGCTTGCCTGGTAGGTGGCACAATTCATGCTGCCCAGGTGAGTGAGTTTGACCTCCACCCACTGCCCTGAACTGCCTTGGGTCGATCCAGGGAACCCTTGGGGGGGGGGGCTGTATTTGTATCCTGAGATACAGAGTCACCTTACTGCCGATGCACAAGTCTTTGACTTGGTTTAACCCAGAGGTCCAGTTTGGTCTAGTGGTTGGGAGCGCGGGCTCTAATCTGGGAGAACTGGGTTTGATTCCCCACTCTTCCACGGGCAGCTGCTGGTGTGACCTTGGGTCAGTCACAAGCTCTCTCAGAGCTGTTCTCTCAAGAGCTCTCTCGGCCCCGCCTACCTCACAGGGTATCTGTTGTGGGGAGGGGAAGGGAAAGGAGATTGTAAGCCCCTCTGAGACTCCTTCAGGTAGTGAAGGGCGGGGTATAAATCCAATCTCCTCCTCCTCCTCCTCCTCCTCTTCTTTTTAAGCCTGCAGGTGGGTTTGGAATTCCGATACAGTGCGTTGGACGTAGCCGCAAAATGGCTGCCGCAGCTTGCCTTTACTCACACAGTGAAAGTTGCTTGTGTTGTGTTGGCAGCTGCTGTCGAAGGATCGTATTTAAAAACCTGTAAAGCCCGTCACATCGCCAGTGTTTCATCAGTAGCCGTGCTGGGTAAAAGCCCCACTTGGCCCCGCCCACTTTCTCCAAACCGTTAGTGGGTGCCCCTGGGCACCCCGTTGGAGACCTCTGATCGAAGCTGTCGCAGTGCTTCAAGAGCACGGCTTTTATCATACCGATCCAAAAGCCTGGTTGCATTTAGGCCAGGCTTCCAGAGAACGACTCTCCCTCAACTTGTCCCATCCGTATTGCTGGGCACTGTCTTTGGGATCTCTGTGTGCAGACTTTGAAAGTGTTTGCACATCAGCTGAACTGCCGTTCGGTGACCTCAGTGGCGGAAAACGCTGTCAAGTCACAGCCAACTTCTGGTGACCCTGGAAGGTTTTTAAGGCAAGAGATGAACAGAGGCGGTTTGCCGTTGCCTGCCTCTGCATAGCAGGCCTGGGCTTCCTTGCTGGTCTCCCTGCTTAGCTTCCGAGATCTGATTAGACTGTGCTAGCCCGGGCCATCCAGGTCAGGGCAATTACCTTTGGCCTTCCCAAACAACTCTGCTACCTGTATCCAGCCCTCAAGGAACCCTGGGAGTTGTAGTTTTGTGCTGTATAGCACAGATGCTCTCGGGCTGTGTAGTGTATGGTTCCCATCTTTTCTTGTTCCAAATGGGGGAGATTGGATTTATACCTGAGGGAGTCTCAGAGTGGCTTGCAAACTCCTTCCCCTTCCCCTCCCCACAACAACCTCAACCTGTGAGGTAGGCGGGGCCGAGCGAGCTCTCTCGAGAACCGCCCTTGAGAGAACAGCTCCGAAAGAACTTGTGACTGACCCAAGGTCACACCAGCAGCTGCACGTGGAGGAGTGGGGAATCAAACCCGGTTCTCCCAGATTAGAGTCCGCACTCCTAACCACTACACCAGATGGGCTCTCCAGTAAGGCCTAGAAGGTGGTGGGGTTTTTTTTTGCCTGTAGGAACTATGAAAAGTCTTCAGAGGTGTTAAGTCTTTCAGAGCTGACACACACCCGGTCACCCAAACCTGGAACATCCTTTTCCTTCCTTCATCCTTCTGCTTCTGGGCTGTAATCAGAGTTCGAGTCCCTGTGCCTCCCCGCCCCCCCAAGTTTGCTTTTAGTTCTCCCCATGTGATGTTCCGAAAGGCTGCCAGGGGCCTGTACAAGATGGGTCATTGGTCCTCTCTCGCTTCCAGCCTCTACGATGTGTTTTTTAATAGTCCGCCTTTCTGCTCTGGGCTCGATGCCTATTCCGCAGAGTGAGTCAATGCAGTCAACAGAATGGGACGTTCCGTGACCAAAACGATAGGATTGGGGTTGTAGATCCAGCCAGGAATCTAAAGCACAGAACTGAAAAAAAGTATAAGTATTGGCATGTTAACCCAACCAGGAATCTAAAGCACAGAACTGAAACAAAGTATTAAGTATTAACACGGCATGTTAAGTGATGCAAAATTACACAGCTGGGTCCGACCCACAGCAAAGTATATACCATACTACAGACCACAATTCCCCAATTGTTTATCCAAGTATTTATTTATTTATTTGGATTTATAATCCCGCCCTCCCCGAAGGCTCAGGGCAGCTAACAGAGGCGTAATGCCAGACAATAACAATAGAACAGTATAAAATACTAAAAATACAGAATAAATAATTAAATAAGATTCGGTGCTCCCCTCCTCACTTCGGAATTTTAAGACCAAGATGGTGTTCTCGATGGTATAGCTACACAACAACAGTAGTGCATATCACCACTGTCCTGTCGTCCCCTAAACACGTCCCGCTCCCTCCGATGGTACCCGCACCAGCAGTAGCAATGTGCGGAAATTATAGGGCGTTGATGGAACAGTGGTGGTGGCGGCTCCTATTCGAAAGCCTGGCGGAAGAGCTCCGTCTTACAGGCCCTGCGGAACTGTACAAGGTCCCGCAGAGCCCGGATCTCCTCTGTAACCTTGTGAAGTAACCTTGTGAAGCCTTTTATACAGTGCAACCGTTATCGGCTGCACGGAAAAGCCGCCTTGAATAATTCAGTTTTGCATAGTTTGCAGAAATGTCAAAAAACTGGGGGCGTTCCTGACCTCTGCAGGCAGCCCATTCCGCAAGGTGGGGGGCCACAGTGAAGAAGGCCATGTGTATGGACAGGTGTTAGAATCCTAGAATCGTAGGGTGGAAGGGACCTCCAGGGGTCATCTAGTTCGACCCCCTGCACAACACAGGGAATTCACAAACACCTCCCCATCACACACACCCCAGCGACCACTGTTCCACACACAAAAGATGACAAAAAAACTCCAGGATCCCTGGCCAAACTGGCCTGGAGAAAAATTGCCTCCTGGCCCCAAAGTGGCAATAGGCATTTCCCTGGGCGTGTAAGAAAGGGGCCACGAGAACTAAGCCTTGAGGCAACCCTTCCTGCCCTCCCTCTCGTGATCTGCACAGAATTCGCATGGCTGTCAGACAGCCATCTCGCCTCTGCTTAAAAACCTCCAAAGGAGGAGAGCCCGCCACCTCCCAAGGAAGCCCGTTCCACTGAGGAACCGCTCTAGTATGTTTAGCCGGAAACACCTCTGATTTAATTTCAACCCACTGGTTCTGGTCCGACCTTCTGGGGCAACAGAGAACAACTCCTCACCATACTCTATATGACAGCCCTCCGAGTACTTGAAGATGGTGATCCTATCACCAAACCGCTCTAGTATGTTTAGCCGGAAACACCTCTGATTTAATTTCAACCCACTGGTTCTGGTCCGACCTTCTGGGGCAACAGAGAACAACTCCTCACCCATACTCTATATGACAGCCCTCCGAGTACTTGAAGATGGTGATCCTATCACCTCATGTTGGTTTTGCCCATTGGCACGTTGGCACCCACCCACTCCCACTGGGCTTTTTCCACCCAGAAGGCCCTGCTCCGATGAGTGAAGCTGTCGTGGCGCAGCCTAGGGGTAAATAGTTGGCAGCCAGACACTTGGTCTTGCCTACCATGTAGTCCCGATTCCCTCAGATCCTAAAGCATCTCAGCTGCTTTCTCCTGTCCAAGAAAGACAAGCTTCCTAGTGTCCTCCTACCCCACTGCAGACCGCAATGGAAGCCCTCTTGGTGTGGCCTCGGTATGCCCATTGATGGACGTATTCTCCATGAATCTGCCTTAATCCCCTTTTAAGGGTGTCTATTCCCGTGACCGGAGCTGCGGTGGCTCAAGTGCTTAAGACGCTGAACTGCAGGCTGTGAAAGGTCGGTAGTTCAGCAGTTCAAGACCCGAGTGTGCCGCATGACGGAGTGAGCTCCCGTCTCTAGTTCCAGCTCCTGCCAACCTAGCAGTTCGAAAGCAAGAAATTGCAAGTAGATAAATAGGGACCACTTCAGTGGGAAGGTAACAGCGTTCCGTGCGCCTTGGTGTTTAGTCATGCCGGCCACATGACCACGGAAACGTCTTCAGACAGCGCTGGCTCTTCGGCTTTGAAACGGAGATGAGCACCGCAACCCTAGAGTTGGGTGGGGTAAAAATACTAGTAAACAAATAATAAAATAATAAAATAAATAAATAAAATAAACAAATAATTAAATAAATGTCCCCCCCTTAGTCATCTCTTTTCCAGACTGGGACGTCCCCGACTCTTCAGCCTCCTGTCTCTGGGATTCAGAGGCTCAGTGCCTCTAGACGTGAAGGTTCCCCTCAGCCACCGTGGCGAGTACTAGTAGCAACTCATAGGGAAAGTTCCAGGGCTATTTTTGGGCAGGAACGCACAGGAACGGAGTTCCGGCTGGCTCCCGAGTTGGCCACGCCCAGCAGGAACTCATTAGCATAATAGGCCACACCCAATGGCAGAAACTCATTAGGATTGGCTACATTAGGGGTGTGTGGCCTAACATGCAAAGGAGTCCCTGCTCCAAAAAAAGGCCCTGGGTTTGGACAACAAACAAGGTAAACAGAATAAGAAGGGAAAGGTGGGTGTGGCTGGATGACCACACTTCTGGTAACATGGGGGTGTGGCCTAATAGGCTACTGAGCTGTGCTGTCAGAGTGTGGCCTAATATGCTAATGAGTTTTGCTGTTGGGTGTGGCCTATTATGCTAATGAGTTCCCACTGGGCTTTTTCTACAAAAAGAGCCCTGGCAAAGTTCTCCAACCCCCTAATCATCTTGGTTGCCCTTCTCTGTACTTTCTCCAGCTCGGCAGGTGGCATGCGAGTAGGGTCGTCAGCTCTGCCTTGAGAGATTCCTGGAGATTGGGGGAGGGGAGTTTGGGGAGGCGAAGCAGCTCAGCAGGGTAGAAGGCCGTAGACGTCACCCTCCGAAGGAGCCACTTTCTCCAGGAGAAGCATTCCCTGTAGTCCGGAGATCAGTTGTGATTCTGGGGAATCTCCTGGTCCCACCTGGAGGTTGTAGCAACCCGAGCTGCAGTGTCTGGAAAGCCAGGTAACGAATAAATATGCACTGCAAGAAACCTCTGTAAATGAATGTGTTCTGTTTATAACTATCATTCTATAAAGTGCATTGTGTGTTATTTGAGAGAGTCAGTATTTGAGAGCCAGTTTGGTGTGGTGGTTAAGTGTGCGGACTCTAATCTGGGAGAACCGGGTTGGATTCCCCCACTCCTCCACTTGCACCTGGCTGGATGACCTTGGGCAAGCCGTAGTTCTGATAAGAGCTGTCCTTGAAAAAGAGCAGTTTCTGTCAAGAGCTCTCTCAGCCCCACCTACCTCACAGGGTGTCTGTTGGGAGGGGGAGAGAACGGAGTTTGTGAGCCGCTCTGAGACCCCTTTGGGTAGTGAAGGGCGGGGTATAAATCCAATCTCCTCCTCTTCTTCTTTTACCTCACAGGGTGTCTGTGGTGGGGAGGGGAAGGGAGAGGAGTTTGTCAGCCGCTCTGAGATTCTTTTGGGTAGTGAAGGGCAGGGTATAAATCCAATCTCTTCTTCTTCTTTTACCTCCAGGGTGTCTGTGGTGGGGAGGGGAAGGGAAAGGAGTTTTTCAGCCGCTCTGAGGCTCCTTTGGGGAGTGTAGGGCGGGGTATAAATCC